GAAAGATTAAGAATGAGCTCTCAAAAATGGATACTCTCATAAAAAAAACCAACCTTCCACACAAACTTCCCCGGGGCTGGACTTTACTAAAACTAGACAAGCCATTTACAACACACACTTTGCTTCTCTACAAAAGAAAAAGGACACTAAACTTTCTAAACTACTACATGCCACAAGGGGCCACAGCAATGGTTCCCTCAACCCACCCAGCAATATTGTTAACCTATCCAACTATACTCTCAACCCAGCAGAAGCAGCTGTCCTATCTCGGGGCCTCTCCTTCTGCCCCTCCACCCCCACGAACATGATACAGTTCTGTGGTGACCTAGAATCCTATTTTCGATGTCTCCGACTCAGGGAATATTTCCAACATACCTCTGAACAACATACTAATCCACAGAGACCTCCCTACCAACACTACAAAAAGAAGGATTCTAGGTGGACTCCTCCTGAAGGTCGAAACAGCAGACTGGACTTCTACATAGAGTGCTTCCGCCGACGTGCACGGGCTGAAATTGTGGAAAAGCAGCATCACTTGCCCCATAACCTCAGCCGTGCGGAACACAATGCCATCCACAGCCTCAGAAACAACTCTGACATCATAATCAAAAAGGCTGACAAAGGAGGTGCTGTTGTCGTCATGAATAGGTCAGAATATGAACAAGAGGCTGCTTGGCAGCTCTCCAACACCACTTTCTACAAGCCATTACCCTCTGATCCCACTGAGAGTTACCAAAAGAAACTACAGCATTTGCTCAAGAAACTCCCTGAAAAAGCACAAGATCAAATCCGCACAGATACACCCCTGGAACCCTGACCTGTACTACCCAAGATCCATAAACCTGGAAATCCTGGGCGCACCATCATCTCAGGCATTGGCACCCTGACAGCAGGATTGTCTGGCTATGTAGACTCCCTCCTCAGGCCCTATGCTACCAGCCCTCCCAGCTACCTTCGAGACACCACTGACTTCCTGAGGAAACTACAATCCATTAGTGATCTTCCTAATAACACCATCCTGGCCACTATGGATGTAGAAGCCATCTACACCAACATTCCACACAAAGATGGACTACAAGCCGTCAAGAACACTATCCCCGATAATGTCACGGCTAACCTGGTGGCTGAACTTTGTGACTTTGTCCTTACCCATAACTATTTCACATTTGGGGACAATGTATACCTTCAGATCAGCGGCACTGCTATGGGTACCCGCATGGCCCCACAGTATGTCAACATTTTTATGGCTGACTTAGAACAACGCTTCCTCAGCTCTCATCCCCTAATGCCCCTATTCTACTTGCGCTATATTGATGACATCTTCATCATCTGGACCCATGGAAAAGAAGCCCTTGAGGAATTCCACCATGATTTCAACGATTTCCATCCCACCATCAACCTCAGCCTGGTCCAGTCCACACAAGAGATCTACTTCCTGGACACTACAGTGCTAATAAACAATGGTCACGTAAACACCACCCTATACCAGAAACATACTGACTGCTATTCCTACCTACATGTCTCCAGCTTTCACCCTGACCACACCACACGATCCATCGTCTACAGCCAAGCTCTGCGATACAACCGCATTTGCTCCAACCCCTCAGACAAACACCTACAAGAGCTTTATCAAGCATTCTTACAACTACAATACCCACCTGCGTAAGTGAAGAAACAGATTGATAGACCCAGAAGAGTTCCCAGAAGTCTACTACTACAAGACAGGCCTAAAAAAGAAAATAACAACGCCACTAGCCGTCACCTTTAGCCCCCAACTAAAACCCCTTCAAATCATTAAGGATCTACAACCTATCTTGAAGGATGACCCAACACTCTCACAAATCCTGGGAGACAGGCCAGTCCTTGCCGACAGACAGCCCCCCAAACTGAAGCAAATACTCACCAGCAACCACATACCACACAACAGAACCACTAACCCAGGAACCTATCCTTGCAACAAAGCCTGTTGCCAACTGTGCCCGCATATCTATTCAGGGGATACCATCACAGGGCCTAATAACATCAGCCACACTATCAGAGGCTCGTTCACCTGCACATCCACCAATGTGATATATGCCATCATGTGCCAGCAATGCCCCTCTGCCATGTACATTGGTCAGACTGGACAGTCTCTACGTAAAAGAATAAATGGACACAAATCAGACGTCAAGAATTCTAACATTCATAAACCAGTTGGAGAACACTTCAATCTCTCTGGTCACGCGATTACAGACATGAAAGTTGCAATTCTTCAACAAAAAAACTTCAAATCCAGACTCCAGCGAGAAACTGTTGAATTGGAATTCATTTGCAAATTGGATACAATTAACTTAGCCACTCCCAGTCTCTGTTTAAGCCCAAGTCATTATGCAAGGTAACCTATTTCCCCTTGTTTTTTCCTAACCCCCCCTCCCCCCCAGACGTTCTTGTTCAACCCTGGATTTGTGCTGGAAATGGCCCACCTTGATTATCATACACATTGTAAGGAGAGTGATCACTTTAGATAAGCTATTGCCAGCAGGAGAGTGGGGTGGGGGGATGTATTTTTTCATGCTTTGTGTGTATAAAAGATCTTCTACACTTTCCACAGTATGCATCTGATGAAGTGAGCTGTAGCTCACGAAAGCTTATGCTCAAATAAATTGGTTAGTCTCTAAGGTGCCACAAGTACTCCTTTTCTTTTTGCGAATACAGACTAACACGGCTGTTACTCTGAAACCAGTTCTTTAATGGTAACAATAAGCTTATGACAAACATTGTACTACTTCATGGTTGCTCATAGCTTCATGCCATACTCTGTCAAACGCTGTATTGAGGTAATCAAAGATGTGGTAAATGTCCTGTTAGTGTTGTAAGTGCTTATCACATTGAACATGAACGTTGAAACCTGTTCTGTGGTGGTACTTCTGACACAAAAGCTAGCCAGCGATGATATTCCCTGAGTGGGGCTTCAGTCTGTTCAATGACTTTCAACATCACTTTGCTGGGGTGGCTAATTAAACTTATGGTCTGGTAATTTTGACACAATTGCAGGTTGTCTTTCTTTGTCAGAGTGATTAGTGACTGTGTCCATGTGGAGGGCCACTCACTGGTCTGCCAGATCTTGTTGCAGATCTTGGTGAGTACATCTTACTATTTCTCCTCCAAATTTCATCAGTGCAGCTGGGATGTTGTCAATACCTATAGCTTTTCCATTCTTGAGTGATTTCACAGCATCTGCACTTCTTCATGTTGTATTGGAAAGTTCTCCTCCTCTGTTGAATCTGGGCTGTCTCGGACACTAAGATCTCCACTTGTCTTGTGGTTGCATAGATCAGAGCAGTAGTTTGTCCACCTATTGATGATGTCCCTTTCTTCTGTTCCCTTCTTTGTCTTGAATTTTAGCTTTGGTCCATCTTTTCTTCGTCAGATCTTTTACAACCTGGAAGGCTTGTTTGCTATTTTTATTATTGATACTCTTCAATTTTAGAGCATCGTTTTTCAATCCATATCTCCTTGTCCACCTTCATTACTTTCTTGATCTTTCTGCTAATCGCTCTGTATTTATCAGCTTCCCTCAGTGCTGTTCTTGTGTCTCAAGTTCTCTTCTAATGTCACACATGTAGTGTTTCATTTATGACCCATCGGTTTGTCTTACGATGTTTCCCAAGGATGTCCATTGCTGCCTCATTCATTAGTGTTGAAATTGTTGGTCGTTGCTTCTACGTCGTCCTCTAGAGCAAGCAGCAGGGCAAATTTTCTGCTGATCATTGGAATGACTCTGCAATGTTTCAGTCTGAGTCTTTCCAAGTCAAACTTGGTTCTGGTGAATTTTGGCCCGAATTTCCTTAGCCTCAGCCAAAAACTTAGCATCACAAGGTTGTGATCGCTTCCAGTATCAGCACTGAGGAAGCTCTTTGTTTTAGCTCTGTTAATCCCAGAACTAAATCAGTTTTGCACCATGTTGTAGTCGATCTGGCTGTGATTTAGACTATTAGGTGTGTGCCATGTTGATTGCCTGCATGCTTTATGTGCTCCTAATGTTTGCCAGAACCAGATGATTATAGCTGACAAACTCAAAAAGCCTCAATCCTGTCTCATTGGTGGTTGCATTACGGGAAGGGCCACAGTCTCACCAGTCTGCCTGTGCAGCAGTACCTACTTTAGCGTTCCAATCTCCCTGTACAATCAGGATATCTTTCTTGTGTACCGTATCAATGATGTCTTGGAACTGATTGTAAAAATTTTCAGTTTGCTCATCATCATACTGATGTAGGGGCATAGACTTGTACCACTGTGATATTAAATGGCACTGACTTTAGAAGGATGGAAATAAGCCTGGTGGACATTGGGCGGCATCCTAATACTGAATTCTTGATATCTTTATGCACAAATCCTACATTGTTGCCATGTTTGTCCTCTCCACTGTAATAGAGTACGTGGCCTTCTTCCATTAGTGCCTCTCCACAGTTCTTCCATCAGACCTCAGAGATTCCTAGGAGGTGCCAGGTGTATTGTTCCATTTCATATGTGAGTTCTTTCAATCTCCCTATTTGTCTGAATGTCCCTACATTCCATGTGACTATGGTGGCGATATCTCTTCCACGGATCCTCTTGGTTGGGGTTACGCCAGTAGTATGCTTGTCGTGTCCACCCTGGTGGGAGACTGATGGTGTGGTCATTATTAACCCAGGGTGTGATCAATCCAGTATGTACATGGTTGACTTGCTTATCATATGTTTGTGTCTTGGGCTCCGCCAGGTTAGAAATTTGCCTGTCTCTCTCCAGGCAGCCCCCTTTTAGTTGCCTCTTACGAGATGCAGGAGGAGCAGTGGGCCTATTCTGTTCCCAGACCCACAGCCTACTAGATAACTTAAGATCATGCAGCTGCCTTCCACTACCATAAGTCTCTACTGTGAAAATTAGTGGCACAGCATTAACTGAAACTAGTGACCTTCTCAGAAATCCTGTTTGATACACTTCATTCTTGTCTAACCTTTTTTCCCTTTATTTTCTTGCAGGATGACAGAGACAAAATTAAGAAACCAGCGGTAAGTGTCATCACTCTGAAATCTCAAATCCAGTGTTTCATCTGGACACTGAGGCTTTTTGCACACAGTGTACCTACTTAAAGACAAAAGGACATGAAGATCAAGTTTAAACTACTTTAAGGTTTTATTTTTCAAGTAAAGTACTGTACTTGCCCTGAGACTCACTGTCAATCTGTGTGGCTTTACAGTAAACCTTTCCTCTTGACTAAATGTTTTCTTCTGTTCTTGCCAAAACAAAAATCCTCCCAAACAAAATAGGAAATTAATTCCAGTCTCTGTTTCACTATATAGAAAGTGCCACCAAATGTACAAATTAACTATTTTTTTCTAGATTTTATATAAAAATAATCTTGTGTTAAGTGTAAAAGTTAAACTTTTAGGAAAAGTTTATTAAGTTGTCTGTTTAAGTTTTGTATGAACAGTTGGGGACAAAGCTGAAGGGTTTCTAATTACCTCAACTTTTGCAGTATAGCTCTTGGCAAAATGGACACAATTCACAAATATTACAAGCATGACAGTTACCACACCTCTAAACAATTAAGTTGAAGCTAGAATATAATTGCGTCAAGTCTGAGTTACTATACTTTTCTATCAACCCCTGAAACATTTTAGATTAGGTAAACACAGAATATTACCACCACAGATTTTTTTTAGTACTACTTTATTTACAGGACATACATCCAAAAGCATCTGTTATGGACGCATCTATAATTAAAATGAAGCCACAGGAATTAGTAGAAGTGGTCCAGCAAGTTGGAAGTAAGCAGCAAATTATGAGGGCCAGGGTTTGTTTAGATTCTGATGCTAGTACACCTGTAGTAGGTGCAGCAGAATGCCCAGTAGGCAATTAGATTAAACTGCGCAATCTTGCTTGATAATTATCTGTTCCAAAATTTAGTTTCCTGCAGACTTACCACCCAGTCAGGGATGTCTTGCTGCTATTATAAAGAGAGCATTAACTTTGAGAGCCTCCCCCCCCCCCCCCCCAATTTGCTTTGAAAAAGTATACATTTCCTCTTACTCCCTAAAAATTTTAAAAGTACTTTAGTAACATTAGCTCACCTCTGTTCTATATGTTTAACAATTAAATCATGTATTCTATACAACAAGATTCCAGGATTGTCACTTTGTGTCACTCTGAAGCCTGTTATGTCTCTAGAGTCAGCTTGAAGCTCTGGAAACAGCAAGAAACATAATCAAAGGATATTTTTGTTCAGACTATTGTTCAGACTATCACTAGGTTTTACGATCTGTTACCCTCCAGTTTTTAAATTTTCCGTCATTTTGACTTTACAGATTACAGCCACGTGGTGCATAGCTACAGTAAGGCATGTATCTATGCCATGTCAAGAGTCCTAGAGCAGGCATTCTCAACCTTTTTTCTTTGAGGCCATCCCAACATGCTATAAAAACTCAGGGCTTCAGCTGGGAGAAGTGGGGAGGGGGGCAAGCTTGGGGTTCTGGGCTTCAGCTGCCCAGCAGTGGGGAGGCCTTGGGGCTTCAGCCCAACAGGGCACCTGGGGTTTTGTGTGACCCCCACTTTAGAAATGCTTTCCTAGAGTATCCTGATATCCAAGTTAATGTACAGTTAATTTGCATACAGCCATTTCAATGGTTGTATGGGGGAGACTGTACAGATAGTGGATTACTTATCCCAACTGCCTCCTGCACAAAGCAATACAAATCTCCCAATACAACCCTCCCAGACAAAAATCAATGCAACTGCCCACACAACAATCTAGACTCTCAGCCCCTCATGGCATCACAAACCCCTCATTCACCACAAATCTATACTACTCTCCCATAGACAAATCAGCACAACCACCCACAGGAAAACAACCAGCATACACAATCCTAAATATCTCTCTGAAGTCTAAAATGTCTGAGTTAGTGTGAAGTGATGGAAACCGTTACAAGCCTAGTTGAGACCTTTTTGTTTAGAATATCACCAGTTTTCAATCATCACTGGGATTCATGGTCTGTTACCATCCAATTTTTAAGTTCTCAGTGGCTTTTAGACACATGGCTTTACGAATTACCTTTGCGCAACCACTCAAACTTTCAGGTACTAGTAGTTTAATTCATAAACTAACGGCTACACTGAGCAGATTTTAATGAGAACATTAACTTTATTTTCTGACTTTCTGTTGAAATGTGCAACTTTGGCATTGCAGTTCTTTTTGTTTTTAAAAACAAGATACTAAAACACAAACTGCCAATGCAAGTTAGCATTTTAAATGATTAAGTCTTGAAGTCCAGATGTCCCTGAGATAAATGGGATGGTGGATAAGTGAGTTCTCACAATTACTCCTGTTTGGCTGGAGGAACTGTTAAGGGCTGGGTTAACAGGGCAGCAGCACACTTGAAAAATGTCATCAAAGAATATAAACACTGAAGATGTGTATTCTGTGCATACAGGTTTGTGGGACCAAGCTTTGTGTTTCTGAAGGATTTACAGAGAGAGTTCACTCTTTCAATAAGAATTGGTATTCCTTTTGTGAACAGCCCCAGCATCCTGTGTTTTAGTTGAAGGAGGAAGACTAGCAATTTGTACTTGTTTCCTAATTGTTAGTGGGATTTCAGTTTTCCTTAAATTTTCTATCAGGAAGTTTCACATTTTAGATCTATGCCGAACGACAAGTCCGGGAGCTCGTTTCCTGTGAGAACAACACAAAATTGATAAGCAAATAGCACAGGCTATCTTTACAACCAACACTATCTTCTGATGTGTTGCACTTACCATAAATCAAGAAAACGGAAATGTTTTGACCAGACTATACTCCTCCATTAGGAGTTGCTGTTTGAAGTCACTGGGATTTGTGCTCCAAAGTCACTTAAGTGTTTTTCGAAATCTCACCCTTACGTGCCTATCCAGGGGTTATAGGAGCCTAAGTTTAAGCTCCGGATTTCAAAATCACAGTAACTTTGTTAATGTATTGAAGCCTAAATATCTAACACTAAAGCAATGTGCTTTTGACATGACACCAATCTAATGTCACTAATGAAGTTGTTGAATACAATGTTAACCCTTGATGTTGTGAATACTTATGCACATGCTTAACTTCAAGCACATTGGTAGTTCCATTACTGTTAATAGGGCTACTCATGTGAGTAAAGCTATATACATGCTATATGTTCAATATTTTGTTTTTGCCTGTAGCAGTGTTTGTTTGAATAAGACATCCTAACAGTAGTGGCATTTAAAAAAAATTAATTTATTGACTTTAAAGTTGCAGTAGCACAAAACTTCAAATTAGTTTCACAAAGCTTCAATATGATGTAAATTAATCAAGTGAATTAATCACTCCACCCTCGTTCTTAATAAGAAGTATTTATGTACAAATTTGGAGTATTTAGTTTGAATTATTGGCAACCAAAAAGTCTTGGTCTTAAAATGATTGTTTTTCCACTGCAATAATTAAACCTTTGAAATGTTTACCTGAGATTGAAACCAAGCATGGAAAGTTTAGGCCACAAAGAATATGTAAACAGTCTTGATATAACCTTAACTACAGACGTTAATGCAACCACTAATTAGTAAGAGAGGGACATAAAAAATGACTTGGCAACAATTTTAGGTAACCATTTTGTTATAAGTGAGGTATAAATTGCAGCAGGAAACATGGGATCAGAATGTTCTCTGATTAGCAAATTACTACTGAAGCTTTTAACTATAAGGCTGACTTCATCCAGGCATGAAAGCTGCATTTGTGGCTTGCTTTGGCTAGTTGTTGGGAAAAGATATAAATAAGTGTTATGGTGAATCCATTTCCTTTAGCCAGCCCTCTGTGGGGAAGTGGGGGGGAAATTGCCACTCATGTTCAGTATCTTAGTTATGACTTTGTTTTTCAGGAAACACTTCTTACCACTGTGGACTCTAATTCCAGGTATAGTATGGCTTGTAATGCCATAAATTTAAAAGACTGGTGCTTAATTGAATTAGGGAAGGGTAACCATGAAGTGGGGGAAAAATACTGATCCGTTCAAACTACTAGCAAATAAGATGGTCGATTTTAAGGGCTTATCAATGCTAGGAAGTTAATTTGGAGTAAGATAAGGAGCGAATTTAAAGCAAGAAAGCATTCCTGATGAACTCCCTCTGTGAACGCTCTTTATTTTAGAATGTGTCCACACAGGGAATAACTGGGAATAACTTCCCATGGAGTCAGACCCTAGGAATGGATGACATGTGAAGGTTGTTGCCATATGTAAATCCCAGGTTTGCTCTCAGCACTCTCCAGGGCATGTTGTAGTCTTACCATGCAGATTTTACACTTCATCTTGAAGTTAAGTTTACCTTCTTCTAGAGAAGATCTGGTATGCTACTAATGCAGGAGATGCTTGGTGATCTTACTCACTAGTGCTGCTGCTGTCGCTAGCTACTCTGGCTGCCTTATTGATAAGCATCAACTCAGAAAAGTCTTTGCTGCTGCATCTAAGTTAAATATAAGGAGGATTCTGGGATAAACATAGAGCAGCACATATACCCTGTACCCTTGCTAGAACGCAGGATTTGGGATCCATGTGCGGTACCGCTTTAAAATGAATTGCAATTAAAGTAATTAAATTGGGATCCATGGCTGTGTCCGCGTTATATGCGAATTCGTGCTATATAGACATGCGTTCTAGTGAGGGTCCAATGTAGTAAAATTTTAAAATGTGCACAGATGTTCACATTTCAACACAATCCAGCCAGAATTTCATGCATTAATACTGTTCATTACCTAGAGGAATCCTGTGATTCAAGAATCTTCGATATCACTTCCCACAGAGGAACTGAAGTACCAAAAGTTTTATTGGGAAAGCTCACCTGTATCTTCTCTTCAGTGAATGGCACTGTTCTGTTGCGACAAGCCATGGCTTTAAGTTTGGCTGGAATCTTATTCTCCAATCAGCAAACTTTGTTTCAAAGTCTAAGTTTTTATAACTGTACATGCAATCATGTTGGCTGGCAAGAGCATATTACCAGCATTTGGTTCTAGACCATCCTAAACACTCCCCCAGTCAAAGGCTCTCTTGTCCTTAACTGAAGAGTGGAAAAGAATTACAAAGTAAACTTTTTTTATAACAAGTAAAATCTCATCTGTAATTTAGCAACTGTTAGACATTGCATGAAAATAATTCTCACTGTGATTCCTTCTAGTTGGTGGACCAGTTGGGTGATCCCAGCAATAGCAGCAATTATTGTGGCCCTGATGTATCATTTCTACATGTCAGAGTAAGCATGCTACTGAGAACCAATAAAAGGAGAGACGAATTTGGGAAAGAAAACAGAAGCCATCTTAACTCACTACACTTCCTGACAAAAGCATAATAGCTGAAAAGAAATTTTTTAAATTGAACTTTTCCAGGAAACTTTCTGCTGTGCACTTTCTTCTTAATTCTACCTTTTACTCACTGCTTAAGTGCTAAAGGTAGTGTTTATCTTTTGTATAACACTGTTTTATTCTCTAATGAACCATTTGAGATAATGCTGATTTCTGTATTACAACAGATGTTATGTATGTACCTGCCTGAAACTTGTAACTTTGCTTCTTTAATGTTTGTTAAGGCTGTCTGTCTGAATTTAATATGAATCCTTCAGCCCTAAATAACTATGAAAATTGGTGGGCATGTGTCTATGAAAACAATGTTCATTTTACCTTTTACCCATAATCTTATATTCTTTGCTTTCAGTCTAGTACTGCTTTCAAATTGTTTTTTCTTTCTACATAAAGAAACAAATTCAATTTTTTTACTTTATATTTAAAAATAAAATGGAGAAAGTTCTGTGGTGGTAGGTCTAAGGGTCAGTAAAGCTTGTAAATGTATGTAAAGTGTAGCCTATACAATGCGTGGATCTACATGTCAGGCTGTACAATGGCCTACTTCAAAGACCTTCCTGACTCTTAGGACTAGTACAGAGTGCTACCCTAAAAAAGCCAGCGTGCTTAATTCAGTTGCTTATTGGAAAAGCATCACTGAAGCATAGTGAAATTAAACTTAAGGAAACAATTGGGATATCTCATATAAACATTATCCTGTCTAGTTTGAAAAAACATACAACTCAAAAGCTCTTTTATTGGTTCTGCTTTTTAGGGGGAAAATATTTTATGTAAATTCCACAACAGGTAACTTTTCTAAGTGGAGCAAAATATTACTTTTAGCAACCAGAACTCTGAACTGATGTGACTGTAACTTATCCTACAACTTGAGCTAAAGCTTTAGGAAATCTTCAACCTAAAGCTATGGTTCCTAGTAAGTGAAACTGATTATCTAACTACTGTACTGAGTTTACTGTGCTGATTCTCAGTACTAAGGAAAAAAGGAACATACAACTTGTACTTATCATGAAATAACTCTTCAGGAGAGGAATCTTGCTGTTTGCATTTTCTAGGGTGATGTTTTTAACTTGTGCTATTCGTATGTACAATATCATGAATAAAAGCACATCCCTAGTGTCTTTCCACATTCCTATAAAATTGGATTTTCTGTCTCTCAAATGTATTAATTCCAACTCAGCAGAAAAAGCTACACAGCACCATAAGCCTCTGATTAGTGGGCTTAAGTCAGCTGACTTGTGTCAGAACCCAGGACTAGAGTGTCTACACTGGTTAACTTAGGTTAAGGATTTTCTGACCTGTGCTTGAATCTGGGGCTCTGGTATCCACACTACAGTGTACAGACCTCAATCAAAATAACCCTATCCAAGAGTGCTTAGGGTCCTGTACCCCCCAGTGTTGACACTTCAGCCTTACAGATGTGTTGCATTGTGGGAAAACTGCCCACCCTGTTTTCTAACTGGTGGTACTGTTGATGGGACTCAGGTGCTTATAAGGAGCACATAAACTGCATAATTAGCTCTTTTTGGTGGCTGTCTCAGTAGAATGAATGCAGTTTGAGAAGACTTTATGTTGACCTGCCATCTAATCTGAGAATTGGATTCTTCACTAGGCTGAGTCACATTGACAGGATGTGCACCTGTTCTGAGGATAATTAGGACATCACTATCCAGGGCTGTCCAACTATTACAATGAAACTTTGCAATTCTTCATTTTTAAAATGGGATGTGCACTGAAGGTTTTTGTTTGGTTTTAAATTTATTTTTGTCTGTTTTTAAGTTTGACATAAATTGTAAATTTCCCAGGAAAAAAACACACTCCAGCCTGGCTCTTCCTGGCTACCATGAATCCCTAGGCCTTGGAGTGTAGTGTGCTCCAGCACTCCCCAGGGCTCCCTTATCCCTCTGAGACAGCGGAAGAGGGGCCAAGCAGCTGTCCTAAAGGAAGTGTGAACAGTAGACCTACTGGCTCAGAACAGCTGCTGGAGAGATGACTGTGGACACCCTGGCAGTCAGGAGCCACCTGTAACTTTTCTTCCTATTTTGGCCAAGCTGCACAGCAGCAAGGAGGAACTAGAGCTGCCACTGGGAGGCTGTGGGGAAGTTTTGGGGCTAGCCCCCACTCACTACCCTCATAGTGCACACTGCCTGGTCACCCCTGCCAATGCAGCCCCAGGGAAGGCAGTGGGGGCCAGAGAGTGGAGCGGGACCAACTTGCTGCCCTGCAGAGAGGGGAAGCAGCCAGGCTGCTTTGGATCATCCCTTCCCTCGCTGTACTGAGCTGGGGACTCTGCCATTACCCCACGCTGCAGGGTAGCTGCTTGGTCCCACTCCGCTCTCACCCCTAGGTCCCCCCTGCTCTTCCTGGGGCCATTTGTGCAGGGTTCCTGGGCAGTGAAGAGGGACCAGCCCCAAAATCTGCAGCCTTATGTGATGGTGATGGCTCTAGTTTCTCAATGTGGTGAGGTTTTGGGGTTAGCTCCTACTCCATGCCCTGACAGTTCATGCTGTCGAGCTGTGCTTGCCTGGGAGCAATGGCCAGAGAGTAGATCAGGACCAAGTGCCTGACCTGCAGGGAGTAGGAGCAGCAGAGCTCATGACTCAGCACAGCCAGGGCAGATATGACCTCCCCACCCCCCAATGGCCTGGCAGGTGGGAGCTGCTTTCTTCCTGTCAGCATTGCTCCCTTCTCTGGGCAAGCTCTGTGCCACAGTGAGGAAGAGGATTTTGGGGACCCAGGTCAAGCTGGGACTGTGCACACAGGAAAGCAATCAGGCTTGGACCCTCCAGCCATAAGTTAGCACAATTGGTGTGTGAACGCAGGAGAGGTTAGGCTTATGTTGCTGTGCAGGCATATTGGAAGTCTTTAAAAGATAATATAGTGTGTGAGCTCCCCCTGGCAGGGATAGCGAGTTCTTCCAGCCCTGGGGTTGTGGTGAGGGCATAGAACTTCTCTGGCCCTAGTGCCAGAGGCGGTCTCTCTCTCGCTGCCATGGCCCTGACTCTGTGACCCTGCCAAATGTATCCAAGAACTTGTGGGTACATTTATTCAGATAGCTCGACAGTGCAGAGATTTTCATTGAAATGATGTGTCCTGCTGTTTATGTATATGATGTGTGTGTTTGTTTAATGTGCCTCTCCAAAAGCGGTCAAACTTAAATTCCTGCATCACGCCCCTGCCCATCCAGAAAAACCTGTATGAAAGAGCTTTGGGAAAAGAAACATTTGGAGATCTGCTACTGGAAGTTACCCCATTTCATTGGTGCCTGGGGAAGGGCTACAGTGCTTGCCCTCTAATGTGGCATATATGCAGGAGCCCAGGCCTATAGTCTGTGTCCCTGGTAGTTCAGCTGGATTCGAGTAATGCTGTAAACAGTTGCCCCCAGGTTAGTTCTACAGAAGAGATAATATAGTCCTAGGCTGTATTTTCAAATAAGCAACAGAGGGCTAATGCATGTTTCCCAAGTTCCTAGCCCCTTACGATACAGGCCAATTGCGGGCAGGGTGCTGCATAAGTGGAGAGATTCTTCAACAGATCTAAAGGGGACAGTCAGGGCCCGAGTGTCAATTATTCTTAAAGCTGAGGTGTTGTGCATATGGTTTACAGTATGTGGTAAGTTTCAGAGTAACAGCCGTGTTAGTCTGTATTCACAAAAAGAAAAGGAGGACTTGTGGCACCTTAGAGACTAACCAATTTATTTGATCATAAGCTTTTGTGAGCTACAGCTCACTTGCTCACGAAAGCTTATGCTCAAATAATTGGTTAGTCTCTAAGGTGCCACAAGTACTCCTTTTCAGTATGTGGTAATATCCCTTTTATTTGAAAGCTTATTGTCTTTGTGGTATCAATATAAACTGCAATTGAAAATAGATCCTTGTGAAAATGCCCCCTCTCAAAAAAAAAAAAATCTAGAAATTCAGTCATTAAATATTTTTGGGTTGCAGTTTTTTTTTTAAATTAACATATTGTGTATTCTATAGAGGGTGGTTTTTAAGCTTAATCTCCTATATGGAGTCTAAATTAAGCAATCAACATTAAGTGCCAAATATTACTGCTAACTCAAATATTTACTGTGTCTGAGCTAAGTTCTATGTGCAAATTTAGGGGGAACAGGTCACACTTTACACACACTAAATTTAAAAACATTTTAGAAAGCTTAAAACAAATAGAAACGGAGACATTAAGTTTTGGTGCATTTTAACCCTTCTTTGCACTGTTCTGTGAAAATTACACATATCTGTGGTATGGAGTATAAATTGTCCCTCTATAGAAGCAGAGTTGAAAATTTTTGTTGTACAAGGTGAGATGCAAAAAGTAAACAGAATAATAGAAGTGTTTTTTGGGTAGACCTGTGATATGTGTCAGAATTTTTACCTGTCTTTCTTTTTGAATCTATATCTAAAGGGTTTATGGAAGAAAAACAATGGCAATCTTAATTAAATTCTGACTTTTAGAAACTACCCGGTAAGGAATGACTACTCAGCTATCATAGAATTAGCCAAGAAAGTAAAATTGCAGGTGAATAAAGTAGGGCATATTCAGTCTGGAATCAAGAGCAAATGTGATAGTCTTTAGACCATCTGCACTGATTAGGCCTCAACTGGAGTATTGTGTTCAGTTCTGGGCGCCACATTTCAGAAAGGATTTGGACTAATTGGAGAGAGTCCAGAGAAGAGGGACAGAAATGATTAAAAGTCTAGAAAACATAACCTATGAGGGAAGATTGAAAAAATTGGGTTTGTTTAGTCTGAAAAAGAGAAGACTGAGGGGGGACATTACCGTTTTAAGAAAGTACAAAGAAGGTTGTTACAAGGAAGGAGGAGAGAGAAACATTGTTTTTCTTAACCTCTGAGGATAGGACAAAAAGCAACGGGCTTAAATTGCAGCAAGGGAGGTTTAGGTTGGACATTAGGAAAAACTTCCTAACTGTCAGGGTGGTTAAGCACTGGAATAAATTGCCTAGGGAGGTTGTGGAATATCCATCATTGGGGATTTTTAAGAGCAGGTTAGACAAATACCAGGGGACTGGACTAGATGAACTCTCAAGGTCCTTTCCAGTCCTATGATTCTATCTGTAAAAATGTGCAGGAGAATGAAAGGAAGCTGATCTTTAATGGAAATCAGAGTTGAGCACCTGAACCCTTTAAGCCCTTCTGAAAATCCCTGCCCTAGTCTTCTGACAGTTTCATTTTAACCGTTGGTACCAATTTTTGCTTGCAGGGACTTTTCAGTGGTGCACAGCTAAAAATCAAAGGTAATTTTTTTGCATTTGTTTACAGGGCCGGCCTGCTGCCCTGACAGCTCCAAATTTTTTTCACTGAATGCATTATTCCTCATGATTTGCTCCGTTTGCAATTTGAATCTGAAGTGGTGAATTTGGAGATTTTGTACCACATCCTTACTCTCTTGTCTGGCCCCTTTGCATCGCTCAGATAGTGCAAAGTGGCCAGGAGCTCTCCTAAAAGAACTGAGGTTTCCTAGGGAATCCTAGGGTGGCATAAAGCCAAAACAACTTGTTCTACCCTCCTCCCGTTTTGCATGAATCCCAGCAGTACACACAGGAATTTGTATAGTGTTGCCACCAGAGTTCCCCTTTTGTGAGGAGGAGAGATGTGTGTGGAGGATATCACCATGCACAGATCCAAAGAGGCATGATCTAGTCCACTTGCTAATAATCTCCATTTTACTCTTGTCCTTTCTGGAAAGGCACTCAGTCTAGAGCTTTGTAGGCAGGGCCCTAGAGTGTAAACAACTGTTCTTTGGGACATAGTCATGAGGAATAGTAAGCAGTTAGAAATTGATCTTGTGAGGTGCTGAGCTCCCTCCACTCCCACTGAAGCCAAAAGGATAGCCTTTTGCAGGATGAAACCTCCTTTCTTACCTTACATATTTGCTTTGGAAAGAAGAATTCTGAAGGTCACCTAATCAAGATTTTTCAGTAACCTAATACATATTTCTCCCTGTACACTTTTTAAAACTACTGATTATGTAGCAAACCATTAATCATCCCAGCATACCAATGCTTTCTTACTAGAACTTGCATCTATTTAGAATTATTTTTTTAAAGTGTCAAATAGAAGACAATTCAGTTACTAATTTATAATCTTCCATTAGAGGTTCTAACAATTAAGTAGTCTTGT